TGTGTGTGTGTGTGTGTGTGTGTAAGGCAGGGCTATTTCAATTTTGGATCTGCTCATCTGGGACACAGGTCTGTATTCAACAGCAGATTGGTGCCAGTATGCTCTCAAGCTTCAGCAAAGTGAAGCAAAGGCCTAGAGTGAGCATGTCCTGACAGTCAGCATAGCAAAGCTGACATTGGGGAAGGTGCGGCGACTGCAACGAGCTGCGGAAATTGGCACAGAAAGTCCTAGACTAAGGGCGAGATCCCACTGGCAAAAACGATAGGAATAAGTGTCTGAATCTGGGCGTGTTTGTGGAGAGGCGCAAAAATTTGTAATTGATCTGCTTTTCTGCATCTCTTTGTGGAACAGGTCCTGACTTAGACACTTATTCCAAGCCTCTTTGCCAGTGGGATCTGGCCCTAAGTGTGACTATGCGATTGAGCTTCAGCAAAGGAATGTTGTGATACGCAACCTCACGCCCCCTCGCAGCTTCCCGTACTGGGTCGCCGATCAGAGTTCTAGGAGGGGCGTGGCCGAGGATTTTTTGCCGTAGGGGTTGAGTCTCCCGGACGGAACGGGAGGCTCTCGTTTCGTGCCAGAGGTTACCCCGGAGTCGAACTGTCGCCGCGAAGTCCCGTGGGGGTCGGATCACTTCGGAGCGATAAAATCAGAAAGGTTCCGCAAAAACGAACTGTCGTCGTGCATCAGGACGGGAAAAGGCACCAAAGGGGAGAGGGCCATAGCGGCGGAAGACATAACTCTGGCCGTCATGGGTTTGAGGGATAGGTGGTGGGTTCGAAGCCTTCAGGCCTCGTCATCGGATTCGCAAAGTCCGCGCGGGAGTTTCCGAGAGGGTAAAGCGGCGGGAGGACCCGCCGGCATCCGAATTCGAAATTGCGCGGGCAGTGCCCCCGCATTACAGGATAGCTCAGGGAAACGTGTCGCTCCCTCGTAACCCAGGACCAAGCGTCGCCAAGAACACGAGTCCCTCTGGCGACACCAGCGACAATCGAACTGCGGCCGCCACGCGGCGTGAGCGGCCAACCAGGGCAACACCATCAAACCCGTATAAGGCAATATTAGAGTCGGGTAATCAAAGCGATCAATCAAGACAAACCCGTTCCCCCTTATATCACACGCCCGAGGCAGGTCTCGCCAGCACACTTGCTCCGTCCATCTCAGCGCGCGCTATACGTCCGCATCGCAGTAGACGCTGTCGTCATCTGCGATGGGGAAGGTCGGTAGCGAGAGGGGACGATCAGAGGGGCGCGATGAACACGGGCAAGATCCCGCGCTCCCGGTCATCCGAACCAACACAGACTCCATACAATACTCAACGCAACTCTTCTCTCTCAAAAGTGGGTGCGCTGGGGGGGGGAAGATGATGAAATCTAAGCTCTCTCCCCTTGCGGGGGCGTCGACCGTCCGCGCGCATGCAGGCGGTTGACGTCACCGGGACAGGGACGAGGAGTTCAAAAGCGATGACTATATCGAGAGAGAGAGTGAGTTACGCCGAGACTGCGCGTGCGCACAGGAAAGGCCGCAGAGGGGAGGGGAACAACAGGATCAACACACTCATACTCCTAAGCAGACGGTCCCCCAGTTCAGTTCCCCCATCCCCGCCCGGACAAGTACATACACACATACATGTATGCAATCAACAACCCTTGACCGAACATCTAATCATCCATAGACCTTCGACATCACTCATGCGCACAACCAGCTCCCATCACTCGGGGCTTCACACACACGACATGCATAGACAAAGCAGCAATGGAGATAAAAGCGAGTCCTTCTTGTACACAAAAATTTCAATTAACTGTCGTCCCCAGGCACAGCCTTCAAACCTCCCAAGACCACCGACCACCATAGCCACAAGGCCCTGCCGCGGCCGGCGTCCAATCCCCACCACTGCTCAATCCCTCCGACTGCTTCGCCCCGAGACTACCGCGGGTCCACCCCACGTCGTCACTCCGCCCGTCCTTGGGCTCGTCGAGCATGTTCGGCGCCGCGGACTTTCGCGCATAGCTCGCGCAGCATTGCAGCCGAGATCAAAGAGAGAGAGAGGAAAGGGTTGGGCGAATTTATAGCGCGGGAGGCGGCGGGTTGTCAGCGCGAGGTGCGGGCAGCGCAAGTTGTAGATGAGCAGGACAGGAGGAAGGTGGGGAGTTAGAGGGTTCGACCCGCGGGATGGCATGGTCCTACGTGATTGGGGTGTCCGTTCAAGTGGTGCGCGGTTTCCCGCTCTCCACATTGATCCGAGCATCCCAACTACGTGGCCAATCACTTCGCGGAGTAAGGATCGAGCTGGGCGGAGGGGAAGACGAAGAGTCCTGCATGGGGGAAACGCGCGCAGCAAGAAGGGAAGATGGCGCGRGGATGCAAAGCAAGAAACGGGGGTGCGAGACGCGCGAAGAAGTCGGAGCTTAGGTGCGCGCGCGCAAAAATTCAAAAAGTCCCCACCGAAACCGTTTCTTGGTTTTCATACCGCGGCCGCTATTCGCCCGCGCGGGAGTTATTAACCAAAAATGAAAAAGCCGTTTCAAAAAGAAAACAAAAGCAAAAAGAAAGAAAAACCCCTGTTTGTCCGCATCCGTGCCTCGGGGTTTCTGGGGGATTTTTCCTCAGGGATACGGGAAGCCGCGTGGTACGGGTCTGAGCTTATCACAATGTAGCCCCCCCTCCCCCATAACTGAACATAACCGACACACGGACTGACAGCACACTCACTTTAGCACTTTCCTAAATGTATCTGACCGTGGTTACGGCCAGACTCCATGAATCTGACTCACTAGGAGGGACACTCACACGAACACTTTCCTAAATGTATCCGACTGTGGTTGTGGCCAGATTATATGAATCTGACTGCATGCACTTGAGCTTCAACAAAGTGGTCCTAGTGTGAGCATGGCCTGAGACTCGGCACAGAGAAACTCACATTGGGGGGGAAGGGGTGTGGGAGCGGGATGCGTAGGCCCCCCTTCCCTACAGTTGAACATACCAACGCATTTGAACTCAGGTCTGCGTTCCGTAGGTTCATGTGAGTATGCCCTTGAGCTTCAGCAAAGTTCTAGTGTGAGTATGCATTGAAATTCGGTAAAGCAAAGTTTTTGACATTAGGGGGTGAGGGGTGCGGGCGGGCGGGAGGGAGGGGGCTTAGCTCCCCCTCCCATACAACTGAACATAGCCAAGATGTTTGAACTGCAGTGAGGTCTGTATTCAACAGCAGATAAACTTGGGTCTGAAAGAAACTCATGGATGCATCGACATAAGAGCACACTCACACTGACACTTTCCTAAATGTACCTGACTGCGATTACGGCCTGACTCCAATAACATGACTGCAATCACCTGGGGAAATAGGAAGAAAAAATCATAGTGTG